CTGGGTGGCTCAGTTGGTTAAGTGCCTGCCTTCAGCTCAGGTCATGGTCCCAGGGTCCTGGGATCGAGCCCCACATCGGGCTCCCTGCTCAGCGGGGAGCCTGCTTTTCCCTCTCCCTCTACCTGCCACTCTGCCTTCCTTTGATTCCTCTGTGTGTGTGTGTATCAAATAAATAAATAAAATCTTTAAAAAAAAACAGCAAATATCCAATTAGTGAAGACATTTCCTCAAATGGCGGATAGATGTTTTTTAAAGTTTGCTTATTTAAATAGGACTCCATGGAAGGTCTGTATAGCCACAGTTGGCTGATGTTTCTTAAGTCTCTTCTGAAATGTAAGTTCTCCCATCTTTTTTTTTTTGTCTTGATATGTTCTGTTTGTCCCATAGACTTTTTCCCACAATGCTAAGTGTATCCTCCCAGTGTCCTTTAACAAGTTCTCATTCCCTTGAAGATTGAGAGGCTGATGGGATTCTGCTGTGCCTTTAGTTTCTTCCCCCACCCAGCTCATCAAGAATTAGCTGACCTCCCTCCACCTGCACTCTACCTCCCAGTCTCCTGTCAACTTTGCAAAACACAGGAATCAAAGTTTAGAAGTGATGAAAAATAGTTCCCACATGCACAGAGAAAACAAGTAACTCTCTACTAAAGTGTACTCAAACCCAAGATACAATCACTACAGCCTCTGACATCGCCCAATTTAGAACAAAGTCAATCAGGACTAAAGCTAGTTATATGAGGGGTCTTTACCCTAGCTAAGCCAGCCTCCCAGTTAAGAAATAAAGGAAACTGTCTCTAATTGCCAAGGCTTTCTGAAGCACATGGCCATAAGAAGTGACAGCGAACAGTACATATTCCTAGCTACTAAGAAAATTGTGCAGAGAAACCGAACCGTGGCCAGGGCTCCCATGTGCCACCTCCCATCCAAGGCATGGCTTTATCTTTTATTCCCCTCTTGTGGGTTGTTTGCATCAAAGTTTACTACTTGTAGGGGTGGCTGGGTGGCTCAGACGGTTAAGCGTCTGCCTT